GTACCGCCTTGCTTTTCTTATTCAGGTTTTATAAAACAAAGCGGGACATAAAAGCAAGGTCATCCAGGGTACCGCGGGAATGGGTGTATGCATATATGGTTAGGGTCACCAACATTGAACTATGTGAACAGGATCTTGATGAGGAGCCTCTCAAACACGTTCAAGACAACAAAGGTGCAGGCAGTGGGACGGAATTTCGAGGATTCTTTCAGGTCTTTTCCAGATAAGCCCCGCCACCCAAAAATGACTAGAAAAAAAGAGGATATGAAATTTGTACTTTTAGTTCTTATTGAAGAGGGTGAAATTGGAACTTGTCATTAATAATTTGCATGAAAATGTCCGTTTTTCGGTACCTTTGCCTCCAAACGAACTCACACAAGTGGCCGCATCGGCGTTTATTCTACATCTTGCCCGACACTGTCGGGAATTACACCTTCACCTGTCAGAAACAATTGAAAGTGTCATTTGGTGGTCATAGTTGCATAAACGTTGCTGATGAATCACTCCATGGCTTTGCAAAAAACATATTGCCGAGAGTTGAAACCGTCAGAAAGTTCCGTTAAGGTTTTACGTCCGAACGGAGAAAAGTTTTGCACAAAATGAGCCTAGATGCAGATAAGGAATTGGTTTCATCAAAAATAGGTCAAGGGTGTTTGCAAAAAGTGGCGGGGCTTAACGTTTCGCGCATGCACTTTTTGCATTAGATCCGTCGTGAGACCTGGCAAGCCCTAATGCGAATTTCTGGCATGAAATCCTCACATCGCACACCTGCTGCGGTAGACATAGGTGTTCTGAATCAGAGTTTCAGCAACGGTGGAACCGCTCTCACTGCTCTACCTAATGGAAATGAAATAAACACCACTGTTCCCGTCTCCACCGTTGCACTTGTCGATATTTATCAAGAGTTGGCTCTATTAAATCTTCACAAGTCCTGCGGCCCCGACGGAGTTTCAACCGCTATCCCGAAAAAATGTGCTGCCTTCCTTTCCCTTGCACTGAGTGAACTTTTCAATGTATGTGTCTCAGCAACGTATACCCGATTGCTGGAGGATAGCCTCTATCACCCCTGTACCGGGGGTTAATTTTTTGGCGGGCTTATCTGGAAAAGAACCCTCAAGACTACGTTTGTTGTCAAGCTGAGCACGGGCGCAAAAAGAGTTCAGCCTTCGAAGTTCAGCCTGGATGGACTTAGAAAGGGAGCGCACCTTGTCGCGCTTATGCATTTTGAAGACACTCCTTTCTACGACGGAGTTGTTTGAGGTGTGGGGAGGAGAATCGATCGGGACGAATATAAATTGTCTCTGAGGCACAACAAACATCTTAAAAAAAAGTTTAAGTAGCTTGTTAATTGATCACAGAAAACGGACGGGTTGGGATCAGAAAACAAAGTACGGTCGGAGTATCTGATCATTTCCTTTAACATCGTGAGATTTTATGGAGAACGCTGGCTTACTTGAAGCTTGTGATCACGACTTTGAGTCAAGAGACGATAGTTCGTTCTACTAACGATGGTAGGGGAAAACTGCGACGTAGAATGATCAGACATTCCCAGTGGGGAGAGGTGGCGTTCTACAANTTCTACAAGAAGTAAATTGGGAAGGTTGATAAAATCCAAATCCAGATGTGCATCAAGCTTAGTGCGAAGGTGGTTAAGAAACGGGTATCGGAATTATTGAAATCACCACAAATGATACAGACTGAAGTATCTACATATTCAATCAGCATAGTTGAAACAGAGTGATAAAAATTAGTAAGAACATTAGATGAGCAAGAGGGGGCTATATACACATTTACAAGAACAAGTGACCGAGAAAAGCTGAAATGTCTGGGTTTACATTGAATTTATGAACGTGTGGAATAAGAAAACACATTTTTGGTCAGATGACACCACTGATTTCTGACAAACGTGATGACACTACCATCCCGTCGGGAATGATGAAAAGGACGATGGACACGATAGCTAACGAATCCATCCAGGTGTATTATTTCATCCTCAATTTCATTATGGAGCCAACTCTCTTGTAGCATGATCACACCTAGTTGGGCATATTCCCGGAGCTGGTGAGATTGGCCATATTTCTGATAAGAGATCGGACGTCAGAACCAAGAATGATGGGAACACAAGTGGGAGATGGTTTGTTTCCGAAGAGCAACTTTCCAACCGGCTCGATGCTTCCTCGGATTTTTCGAACATCCTTTTGGTCTTATTCCTTATAGTCCTCCCAAAACAGGTTATAGTTGCACATTTGGTCCATTTGATTGAATGCATGAAATCCCGAGTGTATTTGATCAAATTTGTCATTACTATAGTGGCACAACAATCGCCTTGGCAACCAAGGTAATAGTTCATGGGAATGATACAAAAATAAGCTCAGACACAGTGATAGTTATGCAGTGAATAATCCGATGATGGAAAAACGGATAGCGCGACCGAAATTCGAAGCCCCTCCCCGGCATACTAGGGCTACAGTGAATAACAAATGACATGAGTTTGTCTGTTGTGAAACGACAAAGTGTTTGGAAATTTCACGCGAAATCCCGCTACTTCTTGGTAAATATTTTCCTGGTCTGGAGAATAGCATCTCTGGGAAGATTATAGGGGATCCGTAAGTGGGAAACAAAAGTAAAAAGAACACGGCGAATCAGAAAACGAAAGACAGATAAAACTTTCAAACGAAGAATATAAAATGCTAATTTTCTGACATTTCCAAATACAGAAACAACTTGTTCAGATCGCCATAAATTTCCATAGATAAATACATCAAGATTTCTTACATTCATGGGTTGGTTAATGGTATCATTCCGTATGTATGGAACAGGATTCTAAAAGATTTGCGAAGTGAGAACATCATGTCTACACATTTAGATGGATTAAGTGTTGTGTTGTGTGCGATTGACCAAACAGCAAGATTAGAAAGGTCAAGTTGAAGGGTAGAAGTGACAGATGCAACAGAGTGGGCGATTTCGACCACAACATCATTTGCATATTAGGTAGGACATGTAGACATAGATGAAATATAAGTGTAAAAGAAAAACAGGGACAGGATGGCTCCCTGTAGTACACATAGTGCAGAGATTAAGAGAGGAGAGGTGCATCCAAGATAACGTGTGAACTATGAACGATTTGGAAATGATGTGGAATGATTGTAGCATATTCTGACAGACTTGTTGTCAAGTTCATCTACTCGGAATGACTCACCGAGTTTTGAATATCCGTCCTGGAGATTCTGGATGCTGAGTGCAGATTGCTACACTCAATTTAAGTGCCACCAGAAGAACCCAGTCCATGAGCTGTCTACCTCGTTCATGTGATAAACTATTTTGTGCAAGAAAAGGCTGATTGATCTGACACCTGTACTTGAAGAATAGTCAAAACTCTCTCCTTAGATGATGAATGTTTGGATTAGTCCATTCGGTTTTTCACAGACACCAGGCACTGTTGATGATATTCGGTGTGGGTTTCACTCATTAGGAGATCTTTAGTTCCCCACGAGATAATGCATTCAAATGCGATGGAAACGTTTGTAATTACCGACAAAGAGCTTTGGACAGTTGTTTTGTCCTGTTTGGGGCTCGTCAGCAGTGCGTACGTTTTGTGTCCCACTCAGGACTCGAACCGCGAACATTCAGGTCGAGACTTCAAACCTGAAAGACTATGCGAATCTAACAAGAGCTGTTTGAACGATCGATCGATCGTTTGGCTGTGAATGACAAAGCATCGGTCGAAGTGTCCTCATCCATGATCGTTATCAGTGTGTGTGTGTGCGTGTGTGTGTGTGTATGCCTCAAAGAGGTGTAGAGAAACGGTAGAACTATACGGATTCAATTCGCAGTTGACATCCCGTCACCGCCAGCTCTTGTGATAATTTTGTGCTGCACAGTTGCCGCCCAACTGTTTCCGAGGGATATTTTTACATACTGAAAAACTAGTGTTATTAGTTGCATTATTATTATTATTATTATTGTTGTTGTTACTATTATTCCTATACAGTTAATTGCTTTTGGTCTCTTTCGCATGGCCCGGTATAATAGTGGGATACATACCCAACCGGGCGAAGGAAAGCTGGTTGTAAATTTCTATCACAGGCTGTATTCACTTATGTATTGGACGCCCAGTTTCATATCATCTGTGTATTATTTCACCATCACAGAATGCGCAAAGGAAATATACGAGCCATTTCTTTCAAAGTGGCCTTGACAATCCTGTCCGTGGCCAATCTGGATGATAAATATCGATGTGAGTTAATTTTTTTCAAACTTTCCCATGATTTGTGTTAATCTAGTCATGAAATCACTTTTACCAGCCAGACCCTGTCGCATTGCTTTTAATCGAATTTTACGCCCTTGATTTTTTTTCATGTTGGGCATGTTCGGCTGGCGGTGGCCGTAAAGTCCGACACCGGCTCACTTTCATTGATAGATATTTTCCCTTTCACTTGACTCAATATCAATACATTTAGGCCTCATGTTATTTTCCACTCCAGGAACTAGGTTGCAGATTTTCATAACTGAACAGTAGTCTGTCGTGGATACGATGATCATGACCAAAATAACTGTAATAATGGTTATTCGAGACGAACGGACAAAATTTAATCAACAGGACATAAACATCGAGACTTGAAGCACTCGAAAGCGTCCGTTCTAGTTCCGAGGATGGGAACCAGGTCGGTCCAATCGGTCGACGATGCAACAACCGGGAAGGAGACAGGGAAGTAATGGACATATTATTCAAATCGATTGGCGACAGAATAAATGTAATCAGAAGTGCACATAAAATGTATGTATAAAAAACAGGCAGAATGCAAGGTGTGCAACTCAGTCCAAGCATATGATTTTACGGAACAGTCGCGTCGCACAAGGGACTATTTAATTGACTACGACGAAAGCTATGCAGCTGTTCGGTAAATCAATCGAATCAGCTAGTCCTTAATAAAAGCAAACAAACAAGCGGAAATAGTACAAGTGGTACTTTATTTTGATATAATAATAATTGACATTCTTTTTGAATACCTTCGTGTGTTGTTTGTGCTCGAGATTAAACCTTTCCGGCAATGGGTGTTATATCCCGAACTAAATAGATCGTGTATTTTAACACCTCGACCGGATTGAAGCAAGGTGTGCGAAAATCCCGAGGTTCTCCATCCATTATTCTGACCGATTTGATCGATCGATCAAGTACCAATCAGACAGGAACAAGAACGAAACACATAATGTGAGATATACCTGGGGATTGAGTGTATTGATGATTGAGTGCGTGCGTGCAAGCATGCATGCAAGTGACTTCACACCAAACTGATTTTTACTCAGGTGGCCGAAACAGAATCGGAATCAACGACAGATTGTACAAGCAAAGCTCAATGACTGCTCCGTCCACATTCACTCACGTGTGTGTGTGTGTGTGACTCAAACCGACGGAAATTGGAAGCATGAGCAATAGTCAATGGTATAAAAGAGCTGTTTGGGGGGTTACAAATCAGGCATTCTGGTGACAGAATGCAAGATTACATCGGCTTTCTAACTAAATCGGATGGTAGGGAACAATGTGGGGGAGAGGGCAGGGTTGGTGATTTCATGCGAATGTATTTTTTCTGTGACTCATTATCTTCCTGATAATGTAATGCAAACAGATTGTGCTCATTCTTCTCTCTCTCTATCACTGGCGCGCTTTCAAACACAGCAACAATTGACTGCAATTCCTGCTCACAATCAGTTACGTTTTTCACTCGTAGAGCAGTGGTGACGATGGTTTGTCTGTTTGTTTTTACACGTTCTTTATCCTGCACCATGCATAGACCGAGGATCAGTCAGTCCGTTTAAACACCCGTTTAATTGCGAATGGATTTATTTTCTTTCTTTTTTTTCCTCCTATTTCCCCTTATCTTTGCACAGATCTGTTCAGTTTGATTGCGGATTCTAATGGGTGTGTGACAGAACAACGTCTGAGCGCGCTACTCTATGAGTGCATTCTGATCCCCCGTAATCTGGGTGAAGGAGGATGGATCGGGAAAGAGGATTTCACCACCACAGTCAAATTATGTTTCAGCCAGGCAAGTGCCATTCGACCTCGGGGTATTTGTTGGACGTGCTGATACTGTTGTTCTGCCCTGCTCTCGGTCCGTTTGCATGTCAGACCTGTTCCCATGGGACAACTCAGGGATATCTCCCAACCGCATTCCACGACACCGTTTTATCGCCATGTAGCGACGGAAGTGGGCTTAAAGTGTAACCTAATTTATAAACAGTCACACTGTTATAATTGCACGAGGTGGTATCCGGTCGAGGAAAGTTGTTCAGTACGAATAACGGTCAGGGTATCCGTAAATTAACATTCAAACAACAAAATGTCTCATTTGGAATCAGTCCTCAAATTCCCCCCCCCCCCG